AGCTCCATTCTTTTCTGCTTTGCTTTCTTTCTCTTATAAAACTTCTTACTGCAAGGCCACTTTCCCAGGGACAGTGAGGAGGCCTCGGAGATTGAGGTCTTGCACAAAGTCCCATTCAATCGGTGGGGACCTGCAGCTGCTGGAAATTACGTCCTGTGTCCCATGCGGCTGCGGAGAAAACTATGAGATGAGACTACTGTCCCCACCCGAATACAACGCCCAGTCATTATAGCTGTATTTGGCGCGACTTTCTGTCCAGATGCAGTGATAATAACCGGGTATTCTATTCGGGTGAAGGCGGTAGTGCAGTTTGTTGTTTAATCCACCAGTAGATTTCGCTAAGTTTCCCAGCTATTTTTCAGAGATGCGGCTTGTTAATGGGAGTTACTTTCGGCGTCGGATTTCCGACCTCTGAAACTCGCGGTGAAGGGCCGCCGTCAATGTATGGGCGTGGCGGTACTGGTGGTCCACCCACCTGCTGGGATGTCAACACAGTAATGAGGGGCCCAATTTTCTGTTCGCATCTGTGACCTCTGTACGTCTCATTGCTGCCAGCGATTTTATAAATTTCGGACCCCGAGCAACTGTTACAGTATATGCAGGCCCCCAAGAGCCAGTCCATTGGTCTCGCAAAGAGAGATGGTTAATGGAAGGCCGGAAATTCGGTGTTTTTAGAGCCAGTCCATTGGTCTCGCAAAGAGAGATGGTTAATGGAAGGCCGGAAATTCGGTGTTTTTCGGTGCATCGCCACAATGCAGGCTCATAATACGAACATAAAAAATAAAAATAAAACAGGCAAAAGAAAACAAAATAAAAAAACTCAAATGAGTGACAGCCCGGCAAAGACTGCCCCAGTATGAGGACGAAAAGCAACAATACTCCCAGATACTCGTTCCGTTACGCATGCATACAAAGCAATCAGAATCACAATGGGAGATCGATTAGAGCAAGATACACCAATACAGATCTGAACTCAGAACTCCAATGTCCAACCGACTGCATAACACCAAACCACATCCCCGCGGCCAACACCTCGACGCGTTTCGTCCGCCCCGCACGCGGACTCTTCAGGAGGATCACTCCAACTGATAGCCAATCTACCTGACCTGGAGGCCATACCTATGCCTTGCCTCCATTTATACTCATCCAATCCCCGTCCTCTCACCGATGAGGGTACTCACCCTCCCACTACCCGGCATTGC